TCTGGAGGCAGCGGACGGCCCGGCGCTGCAGCCCGTGCTGGGCGGTGACACAAGGCCCAGCTCTCAGCTCAGTGCCAGCCGCGGGGACCAGCCCGCACCGCTCCCATCCCGACACCTCCCACTCGAACAGCTCCAGGTGCCAGTCGCAGACTTTAAAGCACCTCCTCTGGCTCTCAGGTTTGTCCTTCTGGTCGCAATTGGCGGGGTACGTCGTCCAGCCCTCGGCGTGGGTGCACCAGACAGCCCGACTGCGAAGGCCGCCCGAGCCGCAGTCACCCACACACCGGCCCCAGGGACCTGCAAAAGAGGGGGTGTTGAGAAGGAACCCTGCCACCCAGCAGCACCCCAAACATCCCCTGCCATCCACTGAAATGGAATCAGCAACCATCTGGTCCCTAAAACTGCTTAAGAGCTTCCTAAACAAGGAGACAAGTGTGAAGTAAGAGGCATAACATTCCTACTCACTTTTCTTCCTTTATCAACAGTGAAGAAAAAAAAACAAAAAACAACAGCAATTTTTTAATTGTTCATTTATAATTTTTATTAAACAATGTCAAGCTCCCAGCTCTGGAGAATTAACTTCTCTGTTCATGAAGAAAGAACATCTGGATTACCACAAAACTGCTATAATCTGCATGAAATACCTGGTATTACCATTGCAGCCATTATAGGGCTGGTTTTGGTTTTCTACAATCATTTCTCCTCCCATCCCTCTCCCACCACTCCAACACTCAGAAGAACTTGAGAAAAAAAACAAAACACCACAACAAAATACCCCGCAACATCTCAAATTAAAGTCTGGCCAAGCACATTTCTTTACCAGTAAAATCCATCCCAAAGCCTGAAGAAATATGAATATTTAATTTCATTTGTACAAATGAATATAAGAATTGTCATAAAGGAGCAATAATCTAATAGGAAAAGAAAGTCAAGCCAGATAAGAGGGAAAAAGTCTTAATAGAGCAATTAGTCAGTGGAATAAACTTCACTGGGAAGCAGCTGAATCATCATCCATGGTGATAAAACAGTGAGGATAAATGCTGTGAAAATAAGAACATACTGTTAAGAGGAGTTTGAAATGGAGGACCTGGGGGGATGTGCTGGTGTCTGTACTGCAGGTTGAGGCCCAGGTGCTGCTCCAAGAGCAGAGCCCCAGCAAGGAAGGCACCTCCCTGCATCGACTTATCATTTACCCTGGGTTGCACATTGAGCAAGTCGTTTCCAACTGCAGCACCTGGCACTCTAAAATATGGCAAAGCTAGTCATTCAGGAAGAGATATTTAATCAAAATTAAACCCAGCAATGTCATCTTTAGCTCTGGAGCACAGGAACGTACGTATGTAATCCCTTCAATCTTATTTGAGGATTTGCAAGTGAGCTTAATCAGACAAGGCTAAATAGAAAAATTTTCCTCTGACAATATTATTCAACAAAAATCCACCAAGTCAAAATAATAATCTGAGGGTTATAAAGTATAAAATTGCTTGCAAACTGAAGAGAAAAGGTAGAGAAAAGCACTCAGGCCAAATCTTAACATATTAAAGGGATATTGATGATTATGTCTCAAGAGGGTCTCATCTCATTTCTAAGTTTAAAAACTCACCAATGCCTCCTAACAGAGACATTTCTCTCAGTAAGAACATTGCATGTGTAATTCCCACTTGAAAGTACCCTGCAACTACCCTATATTTTCTATTTGTTCAAGGCAAAAAATGAAGTTACAATAAACAGGTTGATTTATATCAAGAAATGCTACTCCAGTCAAATTTTCTAAAATTGATTTTAAAAACACCGGCATCAGTTACAGGCTTAGACTACAAAACTAAACACACACACAAAACTAAAACCAGCCCTATAATGCCTGCAATGATAATACCAGGTATTTCATTTAGCTGATGGCAGTGTCATTGGTAATCCCATTGTTCTTCATGAATAGAGGAGTTAATCCTGCAGAGCCAGGGGACTGACACTGTGTAATAAAAAGTAGAAATAAATAAATAAAAACTCCTATCTTTTTTCACTCTTAAGAAAGGAGGAAAAGTAAATAGGAATCTTATGGCTCTATTTCACGGAATCACAGAATTGTCAGAGTTGGAAAGGACCTCTAGAGATCATCTAGTCCAACTCCCCCACTAAAGCAGGATCCCCTAGACTACATTCCACAGGACTGCATCCAGGAGGGTCTGGAATCTCTCCAGAGAAGGAGACTCCACCTCCCTGGGCAGCCTGTCCCAGGGCTCTGTCACCCCAAAGTAAAGAAGTTTTCCCTCATATTTAAATGGAACTTCCCACGTTCCAGCCTGTGCTTGTTGCTCCTTGTCCTGTCACTGGGAACTACTGGAAAGAGTCTGGCTCCATCCTCCCTGCACCCACCTTTTAGATACTTGCAGGCATTAATAAGGTCTCCTTTAAGAGTCCCAGCTCTCCCAGCCTTTCCTCATAAGAGAGATGCTCCAATCCTCCAAACATCTTTGTTGCCCTCCACTGTACTCTCTCTAGTAGTTCCCTGTCTCTCTTGAACAGGGGAGCCCAGACCTGGATGCAGTATTCCAGATGTGGCCTCACCAGGGCAGAGTAGAGGGGGAGGGTGACCAAAAGATCTCAGTCCAAGGTAAGAACTCAACCGTGACACATCTCCTGGATGGGAAAAGGCAGCATGGAACTACACAGTGCTCTGCAAACTGCACTAAACTAACTGCAGGCTTCCGACATAATTCAATATGCTTAAAAACTGGATATTAAAAAAGAAAAAAAAACAAAAAAACCAAAAACCTTTATGCTTTTGAAGTTCAGTTACATGAAGAGGTCCGTTGACAATTTAAATGTTCATCCTTGATACTCTACCTTGATTTGAAAGAATATTACTATACAAATGCCAACATGATTCAAAACCAGACATGGGAACGTGTATATTCTGTCATTTTACTACATAAAACCTCAAGTACTAGGTGGCTTTTTATTAACAGGAAAGAAACTAGCAGAAAGACTGAGCATCGCAACACAGCTGTATCATGAACCCTTTTCAGCATCTGCTTCCTTCAAGCAGTTCAGCAAAGGCACTTTAATGTTTTTGAGAGGTGGAAATTTCAGAATAGGAAAAGTTTGGTTTTTACTAGTTTTCAAAGCAAAAATTCAAGAGTAGTATCGTTTCTCTTCAGCATAGTGCACAACAGTATTTTACTCATCAATAGGAGCTTGAAACACATGACTATCAATTAAGGATTTACTACCTTATTTCTTAGGATAGCAAACAGCATTAGAAATAGCAATAAAAATCCCCATGGTGTAATATAAAGCAGTCGTAACAGAGGACTGGCCAAATTACACTCACCAAACCTACCACTACTGTACAGATCTCATCTCATGAGTACTTTTTATACATTTCTGGTTGTTGCTCGTGAACAGCTGCAGATTTACCAATTCCTACATTAACAGGATAGAGAGAGCAGCAGTAGAAGCCCCAGCAAAAACTGGCCATCATTCAATGTCATATGTAAATTTAGAATGAAAAACTACCCAAAAATATAAGCAAGGAGTCATAAGTAATTAGACTATTGACAGACATCACAATTTGCAGTTATTCCCTGGCAAACACCCTAAAAACATAACCTGCTCTTGGCACACCAGAGAAAGAAGCATGAAAAATAAGATAAACATTCAGATGCAAATCCCATTACCATAGACTTTTTCACTTCCTGATGATCTCTTCAGAATTCAGCAGTAAACCTATGCACAGTGTTTCACTGCTTACTTAAATATCCTGTTCAGAAGCTTGAATGAAGAGAAAGATGTAAATACTTCCTAGTTAATAGTCTGCTTTGTAATTAGAACTGAAGTATTTTTAGGAGAGTCATGTTAAATTCACACTTTCCTTGAAATAAATATGAGTCAATTGAAAGAAACATCTCAGCACAATGTGAATAATAATATTAACTACATTTTCTTAAAAACCCACTGCAATTTAGGTATCAAAAGCCAGAACTTCAGAAAAATGCTGTATAGAAGACTAAACTAAATATATTTCACAGTGATCTGTCTATAGGAAGTACAAAAAGATGAAGATAAAGGACAGATATTGTCCATTTCCTAACCACAGTAACCTAATCAGATACCAGATGGATGTTTGATCTCATCGCAGCAGGACACAGGTGGAAGAATGAGACAACAGACGTGTTGAAATAGGGGACCTCCCAGCTGGATATAAGGAAAAACCTCCTCACTATGAGGATAATCCTTGGAACGGCCTGTCCGCTGAGTCTCATCCTTGGAGGTTTTCAAGATCTGACTGAACAAAGCCCTGGACTACCTGGTGTGAATTCATTGTTGACTCTACTCTGAGCAGGAGGTTCAACAACATGACCTCTCATGGTCATTTCTGATCTGGATTACTCTAACTGAAAGTAAGGCTTTCTCCACTAGGACTTACTATGATACCAAAAATGTTTTTCACTAAAAATTACCACTGAGGTGTGCAAAGCATCCTGCAAAAGTCTCTGCAAAAACCTGCAATAATACAAATAAATCCACTAGTCTACCAAAGCAAAGAGAAATTCAATCAAATCACTATTCCCAAAAGTAAGACGTAAAACTTGCTTGACTTGTACAAAAACCAGTAAGAGACATTGGGATGTCTTGTTTATGGAAAACTGTAAGCTGAGACATCCTGCTGTCTCTTACAAGGCATCTGTAACACTGCAGGTAATAATGACATGAAAGGTATTAATAAATCACAAGTATCTAATAATAAAAAACTACACATGTTCTGTTTGCCATCCTTTATCAGACAGAAAGGGAAACATACTCTCATCCCATTCACCAATCCCATTGAAAGCACCCATAACCACTGCAAGTGTAGTTTTCTTGATACAGTGTGCACTGATTTGCTTCTCCTGCCTGCATGACCTACCTAGAACTATGCAATAATTATGCCTGAAAGGATACAGTGACATCTGCTCTTTGACACACAGGTTACACAAGCATCAGGCAAGGGGGCTATTCAGACAATAATTACATATTGCAGGCAAAAGGAAACATCACTAAACATCAAGCCTAAAACAGGAATCCCAGGAAGAGCTGCTTAGTAAGTGTGTTATTGCTTAATAAGGAATGCTACCGTAATTATGCTCTGTTTAATGTGACATTTCGCTTAATTGCAACCATTTCACCATCTGAGAATTCATTCAACAATACGCACCTTCCACAATTATTCTGTCCCTGTAGATATGTACTCATTTGCAAACTTAGGACAAAATCAGCCATCAGTTAAATAGAGTATTGTGTTAGTAATTTTTTCCAAA